TCTGATCTGACGCAGGGCCCCTCTGATCTGACGCAGGGCCCCTCTGATCTGACGCAGGGCCCCTCGTCCACCCACTCTTTTCCCAACGTGGGGAGGGTTGGGGAGGGGGATGAAAATGTGGAACAACAAAAACACTAATGAGGTTAAAAAAAATAATCAGAAAAGGTGAAAAAACTTAACCAACCCAACCCCACAATGTCAGTTTCTTAACATTCACACCTTTAATTAACAGCAAAACCCAATGGTTTCCCCACCTTGAGGCCACCCCTTCAATTAACCTTTGGAGAAGGTGGCTTCCCCTCGGGCCGCGCCAGGCCAGCCCAGCGCTAGCTCAGGTCCTGCCCAGGGGCTGCCTGAAGGCAGGGGCATCAGCAGGCAGGGACCAGCCCAGCAGCCCCTCCGGGAGGGCCTTCTTACCTGCTGTTCCAGGGCAAATCTCTTCATCATCTTCTCCTCCAGGCTGAGGTTACTGTTATATTCCCCAAAGCGCTTGTCTCGGAACACACTGGCCTTATCCCTTTCCTTGTACTCCTTTAACAAAGTCTGGGTCCGCTGAAAAAGAGATGGCAACAGAACTCAACAAAGGCGGCCTGTTTTCGACAATCAGAGCAGGGTGAGTGGGCAGCTCACAGCAGTGCGAGCTGAGCCCACCATGGGCACATCGATTCCGACACAGTGACCATCAACGACACAGAACTGACCCATTAGCTTTCTCATGCTTCTATTTTTTTAAAAAAAGCTTTGAGTGAAAGTTTACAAATCATTCTGTTTTAATCCAATCATTCACAGAATTTTGTCTCAGGGAGTTAGACTGATTGTTGCTGTTTTTATGTGTCTTTGAGCCACTCGTGACTCATACCAAACACCCATCCCATGTACAACAGCCCTCACACCTGCTCTATCCTGTGCCAACTTCATCGTCTCCAAGACACCTAACCCCATTACCCCAGCAGCTGAATCAATCCATCTTATCCAGGGTCTTCCTCTCTTTCTTTGTCCCTCCACCCTCCCAAGCATGACATCCCTCTCCAAGGAATGGTCCTTTCTTACAACAAGCACTAGTATGTCAGATGGATTTTCAGAATTCTAGCCTCCAAGAAGCAGTCTGGTCTCAACCTGTCCAGGATGAACCTGTGAACCTGTTTGTTCTCCTAGCAGTCCATGGTATATTCAATACTCTTCTCCGGCACCACAGCTCAAAGGCGTCAATTCTCCTTCTATCATCCCCAGTCATTGTCCAGCTCTCTGATGATTAACTAATTACCACGTACTAACAATCACTGGCCGCATTACTGATAATCAGTGGCTGGGCAGGAGGTACCAGGTCTTTCTCTCGAGGTGCTGCCGGGTGCGGGGTGCAGGCTGGGCGTGCTCACTGCGTGCACTGGGCAGCCCTGGGTGCTGCAGGCTGACGCTGACCCATGGAGGCCCAGGCACAGGGCTTCGGGGCTGTAGTCTTTAGGGAAGCACAGAGCCTGGTCTTTCTCCCATGGAGCTCCTGGCTGACACACCTACAAGTCTCAACCTGCGTCCCAGCAGAAATCCCCTATCAATGCTGGCATTATTCAGAGTCAGTTACACTCCATAAAGCAGGAGGAAGATGAGTTTGGGTGAGCTGGCTGCTGCCCCTGTGTGTGCGCGCGCGTGTGTGTGCGCGCGTGGAGGGAGTGCCTTCGGACCCGGCTTTATACAGCAACCTCGGAGGGAGATGGTCCTGGGGCAGAATCACAGCGCATGGAAGGCCCCTGGAACGGCCCAGACCCACAGGTCTCCACTCCCCTCACCAGGCAGCCCCGCTGTTCTACGAGGAAGCCCTGAGTTAGGAAGACATTCACAACCTTCAGAATTCCTCTGGTCTGTGAATTCTGTGTAAGTGCTTGACTATTAGCCAAGTTGGGGTTCCAATCCACCCCGAGGTGCCCCACAAGGCCTGGCAGCACCTTCTGTAAGTCCATAGCCTCGAAGCCCTGGGGAGCAGCTGTACTTTGCATATAGGGGGAAGGGGCCCTTTGTGTGACATCTGCCTCAACCATCACCATCAGGAGCTGCTGGGGGAGGTCAGAGAGGAAGCAGACCACTGTTCCTGCCACCCCGGTGCAAGCCTGCCACCTGACCTAGCTGTGATTCCGAGGATGACCTGATTCTGATCCCAGTGTCTGCCATTCCCCAGGGCTCGAGACGAAAGGAAGGTGAAGAAACCAACACGGCCAGTGAAGGCAAAAGGAGGAGAGAAGAGAAAATGGTGCCAAGCAGCAAGTGGGCAAGAAAAAAGTCAACACACGGAGTCGGTTCAAACTCACAACCACCCTTCAGGACAGAGCAGAACTGCCCCGTCAGAACCGACACTTCCACCAGCAGGTGCACTCCTGGACATGCTCACCAGGCTGCACCAGGAAATCTGGAGGACAGCTGCCTGGTCAAGGGACTGGAAGAGATCTATTACTTGCTCCCGTTCCCAAAAATGGTGATCCAACCAAATTCATATCACATACTAGCCAAATCTTGGGGAAGATCATAAAAAAATGACGAGAACAACACATTGAAAGAGAAGTGCCAGGAGCTCAGGCTGAGTTTAGAAGAGGCCGTGGCACCAGGGCTATCATTGCTGATGTCAGATGGACCCTGGCTGAGAGCAGAGAGGCCAGAAGAATGTCTGTTTCTGTTTTATTGGCTGTGCAAAGGAATCGGGATGTGTGGATCGTAACTAATCATGTCTAATGCTCAGAAGAACGGGAACCCCAATAACAACCCTGTACCTAGACCAAGATGCTGCCGTCGGAACAGAGCAAGAGAACACCGCATGATTCAAAATCAAGAAAGGTGTGTGTCAGGGCCGTACCCTTCTCCTCTCACCCTTCTGTTGAGTGTAGACTGCTTAACCCACTGCGTCACCAGAACTCTTAACTAAGAAAACCTGCTACTGACCTGTCCCCCAACACCCTCCCTGACAAAAGAAAGAACAAGCAGGTTTCTTTTAGTTTAGTTCTTTTCAGCTCTTTGCAGAAAGGATGATGTTTGAACCAACTAAAAACCACCGACATCAAATATACACGCAAATCTAGACTAGTCCACGGCTAAGTCACTGGTCTCTCAGAGGACCTTTGACAAGAGAGTTCGGGTGCGGCATCCCTGCTGCCCACCAGCTGGCTACCAAGGTGTCCTCTACAGGAAACCCACAGAACACACGAGTACCCCAAACTCGAGAAACGTAGGGAGAGGACCCTGAGACTCTCTAAGTGACAAGTCACCTGCTTCAGAGGTCACACACACATTCCTCAAACACCCATCGCTCGGTCTGTCACCTCCCCGGGGGATGGAAGGATGGCCAGCTCAGTCAACCAATGATGACAGCTCACAGTACCGGTGAGGAAGGAGTAAAACCAATGTCAGGCAGCAGGACGGCACAAAAAATGCACTTTACCAGGGGTGGGGAGGTGAGAGGAGACAGACAGACAGACAGAGACACACACACATGCCTGGAGAAGGACAGATGTCATTCCAGATCAGGCCAAAGCACAGGGACAAGCCTGTGAAAGCAGCAAGCGGCTGTACCAGGCACTCTGGAGCAGAAGGCCCGTCCTGAGCCCTCGGATGTGGGTTTATCAGGCCCTGTCTGACTGAGGAGGGAGATGGGGCACAGAGACACAGGGCCCCTCTTGTTCAGGCCTCCCAGGTGGCTGGGATGTTAGCAGGTGGATCGCAGCCGGCAGCGGTCAGCCCTGGGACCAAGGTAACCCTTCCTGGCTGCAGGAGGGCACATGGACTTGACAGAGGCCAGCCAGGCGGGGGCAGGCACCCGAGCTGGAGGGGTCTGAGGCAGTGACGGCTCAGTGCTACATGTCCCAGGCTGCAGCCAAGTTCAAGCCTGGGCCAAAGCTACCACAGGCATCTGTCACTCACAGAGCCTGGGAAGAAAGGCCTGGAGATGCACCTGAGAAAAGCAGCCAATGTCACTGCCCCAGAGGAGGCAGCAGGGGCATTCACCAGGTGGAAGACACTTTCAAACGAGGGAGTCACGGGGCTGCCCGCAGGACACTGAGTCCATCAGAGCTGGCCCAAAGCACCGCGCAGGAAAGAAGGGGCTGCGGGACAGTGCAGAGGATATCAGGAAGACGCTGGACCAGCGAGAGGGATGGGATACGAGGGAGAAGGGGGTCTCGGGAAGGTGCTGGACCAGTGATGGGAGGGGACACGGGGTCTGAACTCGAGGAGGAGAGTCTCGGGAGGTGCAGGACCAGCGAAGGGACGGGACACGGGGTGTGAATTGGAGGAGGAGAAGGTGCTGGACCAGCGAGAGGAGAGGTTACAGGGTCTGAACTCGAGAGGGATGACTTGGGGAAGGTGGGAGATGGACCACCGAGGGGAGGGGACATGGGGTCTGAACTCGAGGAGGAGGAGGAGGAGGGTCTCGGGAAGGTAGGAGATGGACTAGCGAAGGGACGGGACACAGGGAGTGAACTTGGGAAGGAGGTGAAGGTGCTGGACCACCGAGGGGTCTGAACTCGAGGAGGAGAATCTCGGGAAGGTGGGAGATGGACCACAGAGGGGAGGGGACACGGGGTGTGAACTCGAGGAGGAGAAGGGTCTCGGGAAGGCGCTGGACCAGCGAGGAGGGCGGCAGGAGGAGGGTCCGGCGGTCCGCTGGCGCTGTCAGGCCGATCGGCGGCCGCAGCAGCCCCGCTTACCTTCTTGACGGCCCGCGCGCGGGACACGCCTGGCAGCCCCACATCGTGGCGCGTCTTTCTGCCCAGGATCTGGAACTTCTGTCTGTTGACTTTAACTTCGAAGGGGTTGGGATTGGGCTTCTGCTTGACTCTGCGGGCGCCGGCCTGCGCCCCGGGGGGCTTCCTTCCCGCCCCGGCCGACCTGGCCTTCCCCATGACACACGCACACCCCGGAGACTAACGGGACCGAGAAACCCACGCCGGCGGCGGCTCGGATGACGGCAGACACGTGCGGGCGCCGGGGAACAGCCTCCCTGGCTCTCCTCGCGACAGCTGCCAGCCCGAAGTATCGCGAGACTTGGCCTCGTCCCGGAAGTCCCGCTACTTCCGCTGAGAGCGCAGAGCTATTGGCTCGCAGTGACCTCACTCCCAGCAGGCCGCGCTTCCCCGGCCGGCTCTTCCGGTCTGCGCGGTGCCTTCTGGGAGTCGTAGTGCCGCGCGGCGCTACACCGGCCCAGGCGCGGCGGCGACGGCGGGCTCGGGCTCCCTTTCCCGGGAAGCCGTTAGCTGCCCGCCCGTGGCCGAGCGGCGGGCGGCGGCGGCGGGTGAGCCTGTCCCTGGGGCGGCCCGAGGGCCGGACTCCG